TTGCAGCGTTAACCAAAGGCTGACGAAATTAGGGCATCGCCTCAAAGCCCTTTTAAGCATCCTAGAGAAGTTCATAAGATCCACACCTTTAAAATGGAATATGATATTTGGCTGGTGCAAAATGGTTGTCACCATCTTCATCCATAAGGTTATTTTTAAAGCAAAGGAGAAAAAGAAAGGAGAGGAGACTTCCATGTGATTTGACGTTGTCGAAAACCACCAAAAGAGTGCTAGAGGACCATTGGGTAGATGCAGTCCAGGAGGACCGCACTGAGGACTTTGGAGCAATGGCGCATGCACTTCGTGGTAGAGATGGAAGAGTAGGAGGCGGAGTGAAGTCAGGGGTAAAGTAGATAAACACCAAATGCTCAGAAATGGAACAAGCACTTATTTCCTTCTCTTCCGTTATCTGTACCTTAACTGAGAGAGAATGCTTGAGATGTACCACTATTACTCGTTGATTCTTTCGTTTTAGTAGATGAAAGAGAATCCTTTACAATCTACATCTTACCACCATGGGCTTCTTTTTTTAATTATACATTAAATAAGACCAACAATTCTGCAAGGAAATTATTAGCTATTTCGCCTTTTATCCACCGCTTACCAGAGGCACTTCAAGCTCAATGGGCCTTTAGACTAGCCATCGGCTCAGCTCAATTTGTTGCCTCACACTTGAATTTGCATTAAGATATTTTATACGAAAACCTTGCAAATTTCCATGGTGTCTCTTAACAAATGGTTCATGAAAAAAAGGCTTCGCGTGATGTACAATGTGTTTTGCCGCACACAATCAGTAGTGTCTAACACATAACAAATGCCTTAGATTTCCCTAATCAAGTTGTAAAAGATTAAACCTGCAAAAAATTAGCATCAATGAAAGCATTGATGCGATAAAACGAATGCGGTTGAGCAAATCAGCCACTATGTCGATCACTGCAGTATTTTCTTCTTACTTATTAAAAATGCTTGCTACTGATCATTCTGGTCGCCTCAGTATCTGTGAAGCTCCTCATGCCAGTTGTCTAGGCGAGTATTCAGCTGTGCCATCTGCTACGAACGCAAGCTCAGCCCAGAGGAAATGACGCAAAATTCTTCGGATTGAGTGTTTCAAAGAATTCAAAGATGATGATATCCAGTCCTCATACTTGAAAATGAGAAGTTGTGATAAGAGTTGCTTGAACAGTTCCTCAGTATGAATTTAATACCTTGGCATGAAGTAGAAGCGAATATAACTTAAATAGTTAATCGGATAAAATCAAAGTCATTGAAGGCTAATGGTAGGGAGGCTATATTTTGTTACATCTTTCTTAGACTAATAAAACTGATAAGTTGTGAATCGGACATTTTTGGGCACAAAGTTCGTCTTCTACGTGTTTAGGAAAAGAAACGGCTCAGCCATTAGGAGTCTTCCAGGCACACACAAAGCAATGACTTGATTTTTCTCGCGATTAATGGAAGCGGTGTGCACAAGCTATTTATAGTACTTAAGCAACAAATAATTTAAAAATATTTGATGAAGAAATGTGTAAGTTGTGAATAGGTATCTACATGCGATTGACTGAGCATGTGTTTTGAGGATTCCCAATAAATGCAGGTAAAGCTTTTGGATGCATTTCTCAGTTAAAAAGGGCAGTTCTAGCACCTCAGCTTCACTTCTTTGCATGTTTAGTGGCTGCACCTAAGAACTGGAGTGGCAAAGTGGGTCAATTGAAGATCCACGTCGGCTAATTGCACTAGGCGAGTTTTGCAGATGCAGAAAAGCCAAGTTAAAAGAGCTGTGGCAGACATATCAAGATGGAATTAGAGAAGCGAGGAGGGAGATCATTGGTTATATCAAGATCCACCTTTCGTTTAGCACGGTGATTAAAGCAATTTGATCTACTGAAATAGGTTAAGTAAAATAGAATAAATTCTGAATTGTGCGCCATTGGATAGTGTCAGATGATCATTTCCAAGTTGAAGAATTGGGGAAGAGGTTATAGGTAAAACAATTAAATGCCAATTTGTACGCAGCTAAAGAATGGCAGAGAAGGTGAACAATATCTAGGACAAAGTCTTAGTGGTAAAAGAAGAGTGGTTTGTGACTGATTGGTTTTAAAATAGTAAGCAAATATATGCATTGATTGATTTAATAGCACAAATAATAAAATACAGCTGTGATAGCCTACGTGATGAGATTTTAACATGGCAAATTTATCTTTAGTTATTTAAGGCTAGCATTTTAAACTGGACGGCTTGGTACAAATATTGCCCTTTTTAAAGCATTTTCCATTTGCCAAATTGCAGACATTTATGAAAAGCTAAAATCTTAATTAAATTCTCCTGAAAATTACTTACCTATGAGTTAGACAGCTATAGCGGATGCTCTTTATAAAAGGTTAGTTTCCACGAATATTTTTTACAGGAACTTGGCACAAATGAATTTTTCAAATGCGAAGGAGCTTTCAAGTGTTGGTAGTTACATTGAATTTTAGTATATAATATTAAAAATAGTAATTTGTTTGGGCAAAACAACATACAGTAGCAACAGACTATCTTTTAAACTATAAAGGAAGAAATTCTTTGGGGTTGATTTTAATAAGAGGACTTTTTTAAATTGTCTAAAAGTATAGACCATTTTTGCATACCAATTATTGCCAACCTCCTGCAAATCTCTCAATGATATAAACTTTATTTCAAATTGGCTTAATAAAAATTGTATCTAAAGGAATTTCGTAGCGTGTTAAGCACCTTTGCTCGAGACAAATGATCTTACCAAAAAAGTTTGCATACAATGTTGTGCGTCTATTTTGACGCGTTACCAAAAAATGAAATTCAAAGCGTGACAAAAAAAGTTGATGCCTTTTTGTATGTGCCGGCCTCCTATCTTTGAGAAGAACGCTTTTGTGAAGGCAAAAAGCTGCCTCTTACTTACATTGAAATAAACTTTTACGATGCAAAAGACTATTCTATTCCCGCATTCCCCCGTCGGTTGCTTTTTATATTTTTTACAGATAATAATGTTGAACGCACAGGTCTACAGTGAGGATGGTGCAAGTCATGACAAGCCTACAATGTGTTCTACTAATGAATCCAAATTCTAAGCTTACTTATTTTGTATCACGAAGACATAAAAAAGGAATTACCAAGAATGGATACGGCGCCAACCAGTAATACGAATAATTGTTTTGCTGCTGTAAATGCCATTATCATCAACATAATAAAAGGCGACAGTGATGAATACAGTACACCCAGTAGGAAAATATGGAATTAATAAACATGGATTTTCACATTTTAGTGCCATACATTTACCATGCTATTAGGTGCATTTTAGATCAAAGTAAATTAGGCCTTAAGTATTTCCCAATCTAAAAATCGTAATTTAACTAACTCATGTAAATATTGAGTTTGGGTAATAATTCTTTACCGATTTTGTAAAATTTTGTAATTCCAATCGTTTTTTGTCCATAGGGCGTATTTATGAGAACCACGAGATTCCTGTTAACGCCTTGATAAATTTAGCAGTTTGTTTGAACGATGCCTTTGTGGAATGGTTGCCTATCCCAAGTGGTTAATATGCACAGCCAATCATGATTAATCCATTTGGATCCCCGTTATTTTCTAAATACGACTGATGCATTGAGTTTGTGCCTTCTTTTCTTTTTCTCAAATTAAAACTTAAAAGCGCTGCAAGCTTCTCATGGTTCAAGACCTAGTCAGAAAACTGATGAAACATGCGAAGCTTGTGTCTGTGAATTGTAAGGAGGAACTCGAAGGTTCAGAGAGTTAAGTACCCAATTGGCAAAGAATAATAAAGCTAAAACGTCGTTTCCTGCAAATAAATACGGGTGTTTTGGCTTTGTGTTCACGACTTCAAGGTGACTCAAAAGTGCTTACTTTCCCGATACCGAAGCAACTGCAATCTTTGCACAATACGATATTTGGACAGATACAGGGTCATTTAATAGAGCATTTCGTAAGGTAAGCTTGCTAAGTTATCAATCCTCATCCATTTTTTCATCCAGTTTTGGTTTTGTTTACATTTTAAGAAAGTGAAAAATAAAATATCTCTACACGAAATCCTCATGTCGTCTAAAAATAAAATAACCTCTTTCTCATGAGAGCCTGTGACCTTTACGACGACCAGGTTTGATGTAGAGTTATCACAATTGGATTTGTATTAATTCAGTTATTACTAATTTGTACTGATTGACAACTTAAGGGTGTGTGGCTTTTAATGAAGGGCACTTTAGGTCCAAATTTTTAGTTTTTAACTCAGTCTATTTGTATGCCACATAAGTTGGAGCAAGTACTTTGGCCATGAACTGACACAGATCCCTTATCATATGTACGCCAGCATTAATGTTAATTTAAGATGAATTTTGACAAACGGGATAATTAATCTTTCAAACTTGGCAATAAATGAGCTTTGCTTTTGTATTGATTTGAATAATTGCAGGTATAACGGTAAACCACTGCTCTCCTATATTAGTGATCAACTAAAAACCACATAATTCTTTGCATTTTAACTTATGTGCGTGATGTTTTAGCAGACCAGGTACTTATGATTGAATTTAGAGCATCTGCAATGTAAAGGAGCTTTAAGTGAAACGACACTGTTTTGCTATCACCAACTTGCGACACCAATTGCAAAAATTCCAGCATAGCACAAATTTTTAGTCTATATCTGCCATCGCTGTAGGAATAAGAAAAGTCGCAGGAGAGGATCCTTACAAGTTTGACTGCCACCGAGTTAAAGGCAAGCTTGCTTTTTTCCGATAAGCGACCTATTATCAGAACGCATTTGAAGCAGAGCTACCTCCACTGTGCCAGTGCCAATGAGACGGGTGGTGACGAATGTTTAGTAAATAACTAGGGCGGCAGTGTGATTTTCTGTTGCAGCAGAGTTTTTACGAGTGTTAGACCCACCACAGTTATAGTGATTTAAAATAAAAGCGACAAAAGCAATGAGGAATAGAGGCGATCATTTGTTTACTAAATGTAACTTCAATTCATAAGAATCAATAATGCAGTAATGTTTTGATATCAAGACTGTTTGGGTGATTTAATGATAGATAAGTTTTTGACATCTTGAATATTGTCAAGCAGTACTTGCAAAGAAGTTGTTTTTCGCTCTCTAAAGATATTTTAAAGTAAGAATGAAGTGGTGGACGATAATTTGCTTTGCCTGTTTTGTCTTGTAAAAGGTGTCTCAAATATGCATTGATATGACAAATTTGTTTAATACCTAAAAACAGTACATTTTATCAATGCAGGACTTTGCTCTAATCTGTGAAAATACTTCACCAAAAAATACAGCCTTTTGAAATTGGAAAATAGGTAGAATGGAAAAAAAAGTGGAAGTTCCGTAAAAAGAAACATCAATTTACAATATCACTGCTCTGGTACGAGGCCAACAATTACGCCATCTTACTTATATTATGAATATAGAATTTTTCCTGGTGCCGAAAGGCAGGAATTCGAGAGATTAAAATGGCTGTTAAAACAACTAATGAAATCATAAAGTCAGTAGTACTTTTGCCCCTAAATCTCGAAAACATAAACGTTGGAGCATAGATTTTGTCTATTCATGAGGGAGGCAGGTAAAGTATTTATTCACAAGTACCAAAAGATCTTCCTCTATCAAATGCTTCAAGTACCTAGGAAAGATGCAGATGAGTAAAGGAGCAGAGTAAAGGTTAAATGAGTAAAAAGTGGGAAGAGTAAATTTTGCTGTGTGCGAGCTAAGGCCTTTATGAAACACTGGAGATACTAAACAGTTTATCCGCGTGATTACTTAAGCTGCGAGTTCTTCAAAGGTACAAAGAGCATGGCTAATTTTTTTTGCAGTGTTGCTTTGATATAGCTAAAATATTTACGTATTTGTTGCTTAAGTACAGAAACGCGGTTTTATAAATTAAAACTTTTTGTTCATCAGAGAATAAACCAATTATTTACACTAAATCCTTTAAAAAGTTTCCTTAGCTGAATAGCTACAAAATCATACCCAAAATTTATAAAATGAAATAACTTTTTCGCTTCACTATTAAGAGACTTTCTCGTTCTGGACCGATTTAGCCATAGTTTAGCCCTTATGATTGCAAGAACATTCACTTCTTCTGTCCTTCTCCCCGTCTTTGGCGATATCCACCTTGCTAATTATTGTCTTTTGTTTTTATCTTTGCCCATCTGATTCTTTTTGTGTTCCCTTCTTCTTACTAATTTATTTACCCATTTTACTTTGGTTTTTTTGAATCTCAACACGTGCCTCTAATCTTTCTGCCTGGTGCTTTTTTTTGTCTGTATACGCACCTAGGACAAAATAAAGAAAATCATGTACTACTAACATGAAAATCTATCTAACAGAGAAGATAGCACTAAACTAATACAAAAGCATACCTTCATTCCTTAGCTGCCCAGAGTAAACTGCCTAGAAGTCTCAGAGATCAACCGTAAGCTCAGGAGGAGCCTTCCAAGTGCTCAGCTGTCTATTCCATACGTGGATGATAGCGGTGGCGCTGATTTTTCTTATGCCTAATTAGTTTCATCATGCTTCTAGAAGCGATGGACATGCCTGACCATTCGTTATAATGAATTGTAGAATTGGTATTCAGCTCTCCTGGAATCCCTGTCGAAGTGTAATGTCTGACTTTTGTCAGTGTATTATTCTGTCTGTGCACCTTTCCAACATCACCTCAATTGTGCAGAATCTTAAGCCAATGCATATAAGGCATTTTCTTTGGCAACATTTGAGAGTTCTTTGCTATTATAATGAGGAAAGGTTAAGGCACATCTTGACATAAAGCAAAGAGTGCAGATAATTAGCGTGGCAAATGTCGATGCGCTATTAACCGAATGCAGATGTAGAGCATTTGGCTTTTTGTTGCTGTTTGCTGTCGTTGCTCTTACTCGCACTTCGCCTGCTTTCCAGACTGCGCTACTTCCTATGGCGCGTGCTGTACGCCATCTTCATTGGCCCCACATACTTCTGCCACCCATTTGTTGCGCAAGGTAGATTTATTAAGACCAACCAGTGGTTTGGGTGGTGAACGAGAAATGCAGACTCATCAGAAGAAATGAAGCTTATATGTACAGTCAAGGATTGTGATTAATCTCTCGGAGACCAACATGCTTTAATATAACTACGCATTTCATTTCGGTAAGGTCTTCAAAATACAGCACATAAAAATGAAGTCCTAAGATGAGCAGGCGGTTGCGTAAATTAGGAGCACCTTATAAAAATGTGTAAAGGGCCGTCATTAAACACTTCAGCCATTTTATTTTACACATGTTGCATTCAGTGATGAAATATTTGGCCAATTCAAAACCACTTTTCGTGCATAAGCTGAAGCGGCACAGAAAGTTAGTGGGGAATAAAACCCATCCTGGTGATATATTACAACTTGCTTTCAGAAAATTCACCAGCTCATCCACTGCTGTGTAAGAAGGGCGCAGAACCCATTTTGATCACACAACAAATAAACTTATTAACCAATGGCTAGCCAACAGGCATGATAAGATCCGCACATTTTGGGCCAATTTTTATTGAAAAAGGTCAAATTCCTCATAAAGGTATGCATGCAAAAGTATGGTTTTGAGAAAAGTGGTTTAGAGCCAAAATATAGCATAGGTAATTATTCCAGTGACTTGTGAGATAGCCGTTCATAGCCACGATAGAGTTCTTCTCACTCTGCCGATTGTCAGGACACACTGCTCGCGTCAAGGCTCACAAGCATGACATTCAAATTTGAGGGTTTAAATTAACAAGACATGCCAAGTAAACAAGAAGGAAGGAAGTCAACCATAGCCTTCATCTTCATGGAGAGGGTCTCAATACCGGTGTCCATGTGGACCACTTTTCCATGTGTCTAGAATAAATTAGAGTGGTGCACTCCTCTCATATCTGGTAACAGATGCAAGACAAGTAAATTGCATTGGTCCCAAACCTGTAGTGCTGTTAACAAATCTAGAGGATGTTAATTCACCATATTGAGTGACTGCTAGCATAGACGTCGGCAAAAGCAAACGATCCTTAGTGTTTCGGTGACTATCATAATAAATACAACTAAACAGTATATTCAAATTCTTGTAAACTGCTAACCTCACAACTTGCCTTTTATTGGCTACCATCCAGCCATGCATTATTTTGATTGCACTTTACACCCTCTGTGGATTGGCATAGTGAAAGAAACCTATTAAAACAAGTTACTTATTTAGGGGAAGAAGTCACCATGGTATTTTCTTCCACTGGTTGCCAAGTCAATGAACCTCGACACTGAGTATTCTTCCAAGATTTCGAAATATCTCAAAAAGCTCCCTTTCCTTTGGGTCTTTAGGTAGTTTGTTTTGTTTTGTTTGTTTTGTTTTCATTCACTGCTTATGACAGCCTTCTGCAAAGGGTGGCAGATGTAACATGCAAATAAATAAGAAATAGGAAAAAGAAGTGAACCAACTGGTACAAAATACGAAAAGGTATGAGTGCGACTATGGTAGGTTGAATAACAAGTGAGAAAGATGAAGCACAAAGGATATACACAATATCGAATAAGCAATAACATATACCTATCCCACGTTCTCCCTAAAAAATTTCTTGGACCCTTATTAATTTAACTCGAAGGACTTATTTAGATTTGCATTAATTGAGTAGATGAAGCCTCCACTGGCTAAGTTAGTTCATTTAATGCTTATAGAGTTGTTACATTGTAAGGTGCGATTGCTTTGCTAGGTAATCCACTTCTACACAGTTGCCAATGCTGAACCCCCTTTAGGGATTCTTTTGTCTAGCGTCTGTGGTCTGAGTGAGAAATGGACCAGCTTGCTGCCGTTGTTAGATGAGATGGTATTTACTGCCATGTAGCCAATTCTCACTACTAAAACAGTGGAAGAATTTTCAGCATACAATGTTAAGTTTCTAAATTTCTCCTGCAGTGTCTGAGCAGAATTTGGTAAGTAAAGAGTAAACAATCAAATTCTGAGTAGTTTTAGAGCGTTTATTAAATAAACACTAAATTATAATGGACTGTACTTTTACTACAAAGACCTTACTAGGGAAAATTATAGATGTAATCAAAAGGATCAACTTGCGTTGGTATGGTTTTACCAGCCGTGACAACTTACATCAATTCATGAGTTGTAAGCTTTTGTGTTTTACTTCAAACAGCTAATTAGTATAGGAAAATTTTCCCCTTATTTTTAAATTATGGATGCGTTTTACCTAGATGTAGATTACGGCTTACCCGAATTTCCTTCTTTCTGTCTACTATCATTAGCGGCTATTTTGATGGGCTAAAATTACATCTCGGAGTTAAGTAGACGTCTTCGTATTGCTTTTTTTTTTTAGGACGGAGATCAGGTTGTAGTGCAAAGCGTCCTTCCTAATGTCATAATAAGTCAAATCAGTGTAAAAGTAATGTGCAGATAGGCAGGGGAGCTGACTATGTAATTCAAATCCATTGCCGCAAAAGGAAAGTGCATCCTCCAAACGCTAAAGTGACCGTCTAGTTTAATGCATATACAAATATTTTGTCAGGTCACTTTATTTTTTGGAGAAAAAAGCACACATTTGTCTTAAATCTTCTCATGGAAAAAAAAGGGAAGTTTTTTTTTTTAGACAACATTGTGCTAACTAGCACACACGGAATGACAACGAAATGTGTCACCCTCACACCTCCTAGAAAAGTGCTTATTTGACTTTGTCTAGTAAACTGAATTCACACGCTTTATTTAAACACCTACTACTACATGGACATTTTTTCCATACAAATGTTTCTTTTTTGTTTCAAAATAAATTACAAATTTAGTTATTTAATTGAAAGCAAATATTTGTAAACAAGATGCCTAGAAATTAGTTTTGTTTTGAAAAAAATCAAGCGTAATAAAAGCCAAATTTTTCTGGGAGTCAGAAATTATGTACTCAAGAAAGGCACTGAAAGTCTGGTTAGTATGTTAGTGGGAATAAAATCGCCACCTGAGATCTTATGAAGACACAGGACATGGAACCATACGTTTTTTGTTCCCTTTGATGCAATTATGCCCAAAGATATACAACCAGCATTTGGGAACACTGGTCTGGTAATATGCAGGCATGATTACGAGCACGAATAGTCGCGTTGTACGTGGGTTCACTTGCTCTAGTAGGTTGCCTTCGTCTTCGGACACTGTTGTGATTACCTGAGTTGAAACCAAGGAGGAAAATCCCTCCCAAATTATTTAGATAGTCACCAGCATTACTAATGCCTAGTCTGTTTACACAATGTTACGTGATTAATGTCCTGTCATATGTATTATTTTAAAGGAATATACAGTGATGGCTATAGTTAAACCAATACGGCTTTCACTGTCATTCTTAAATTTATTGCCTAAAATTTTGCATTATTAGAACCTAAAAAACCGATCAAAATCTTATTAGGCTGCTGTTATCGTTCTAACAATTTC